TTTTCCATTTTTACAGTTATTGGTGTTTCATGCTCCTGGATTGTTTTCTGGTTGAGAAGTGCTTGGATGCACAGTGGGAACAAGAACAAGATATCAGCCATTTCTGCTAATGCAATATGCAGCACTCACTATAATCAACAGAAAACCATTTACCAACTAATTTGCCATTAATTACGCTCTAAGGATGTGGAGTTAAATCCTGGTACTTGAAATGGAACACAATGTGTTCAGTGAGACACAGTTGTCGTTATGATGTTATGACATTATCTGAGGGATACTGTGAAGATGTTTGTATTTATAAGAAGTCAATGTAATTTCAGGTCCATCAATATTAAAGCCATTTCCAATGTTCCAAAGGTTTGTGGTAAGGGAAAGTTAGAATTAGGGGTACTTGGGATTTGAATACTCTGCTACGTGAAATAAAGAGGCCTTGAATGGATATCTCATAATTCTCACGATCATTCAGTTGGCCATACAATTTTATACAAAAATCTGGGCACCTGTGACTCCTGTTGTTGGTTTTCGAACTAAAAAAGGAGTTAGCCCAACCACTTTAGGGAGCAAATATAACCTCAACATAATTCTGCAAATTGTAATGCATAGTTATTTTTTACTTAATAGATAAAAAAAAATATATCTATACTATTAATTGTGGCATATGTAAACATTTTGGCACTTTTTAAGTTGATCTACTCATGATTTCTTTTATAGGTCAGAGAACCTCAATTGTCTTATAGGATGCACTAAGCCTTGATTATAGCCGTGGTGACAGTTCCAAATCTTAAGAAATCCTCTGGCACTTTAAAACTATCGTGGTGTTCTGCTAACAGTCTATGATGGACTCCTACAAGCGACGACTGAGTCACACCACACAAAAAAAAGGTGTTAGACTTTAGAAAAACAGACTTTTCTAAAATTAGAATATGTGTAAAGGAGTCATTATCAGACTGGAGCAGTTTAAATGGAGTCTGAGAGAAATGGGATTATTTAAAAGTTGCAGTGCTGAAGGCAACAGAAGTGGCCAAAATAGTTAAAAACAAAAAGTTAGCATTTAGGAATGATAAAAAAAAACCAGAGTGAGGAAGATAGACTGATCTATAAGATTAGACAGAAAGAGCAATTTATAAGAGCTTCCAAATCACAAACAGAAGAGAAAATAGCACAGTCAGTGATAGATAAATGAGAAAATGAAAGTAAAACAAGGATTAGTTAAATTAAAAACAAAAGAAGGAAGGTATGTAGAAGAGGATAAAGGTCTAGCTGACTGCCTCAATTAATATTTTTGTTCCGTATTTACAGAGGAAAATTAAGGAAATGGACCTCAGTTAGGAAAAAGGGCAAATTAGTCATTTGTTACATGTGAGTTTACAGAGGAAGAGGTTCTATTTCAACTGTCAAAAGTAAAGACAGATAAGTCAGTGGGGCATGATGGAATACACCCAATGTTATTAAAAGAGCTTAGTGGTGTACTAGCAAAACCATTAACAGATTTATTTAACCAATTATTGTTAACAGGAGTAGTCCCAGAAGATTGGAAGTTAGCAAATGTTGTGCCATTCACAAGAAAGGTAGTAGGGAGGAGTCAGGCAACTATAGGCCAGTAAGCCTTACTTCAGTAGTGGGGAAAGTGATGAAAACGATGTTAAAGGATAGGATTGATGAACATCTAAAAACACATGGATTTCAAGATCAGAGACAACATGGGTTTACTTCAGGGAGATCATGTCAAACTAATCTTATTGATTTTTTTGATTGGGTAACTAAAATTATAGATCAGGGTGGTGCAGTAGACATTCCTTACCAAGATTTCAGTAAGGCTTTTGACACTGTTGCACATAGAAGGCTTATCAATAAACTGCCGGTCGGGCACGGCTGTGCCATGCGGCGGGCCAGGAGCCGCAACACTAAACAACCAAAACACACCTCAAATCAAACATTAACCAAACAACCAAAATACAACCTCAAATCAAACATTAACCAAACAACCAAAACACAACCCAAATTAAACATTACCTGCTTAAAGAAACAAGCATTTAAGGTTTTGGCATGGAATTTTCAGTTTCCAAATTTGTACATTAGTGAAAATCGTTGAGTGGATTGCAAACATATAGTGCATGAGAGGCAACTTGAATAATAATTCTGAACTAATTGAAGTTTAATGGAAAAGTTGCTAAATCAAACATATAAAGGCTACAAGAAGTGTGTAGAGGCTGTGATTTTTAGATGGAAATGCAGACTGACATGGTGACCAAACCATGCAAAATGTACTCTGTTCTATTTAATTTGTGTAATCATTTAAGAGGGGCCTTAACTTCTTTTCATTTAGAGAATGAACAAATATTATTTTAAACAGTGCCATAATAGTACTAATTTAATCCACATCCATCCAGGTTATTTTGATGTACTTACATAGAGAGAACTTTCACATCTATGATATCTTGTCTCAACTCCAAACATTTTGTGGAATTGAAATCCAAGGGACCTTCATAAAATTCAAAATACCTGAAATTAACCAAAAAAGAAAAGTGTTATTTTATATTACTATATTAATCATGAATATAAAGACAATGTTTATCACGTTTACGTTCATTACATCACAAATACCTCCTTGCTATATTAGGTGAGAGGGCATAGGGTGTGCAATGGTACATTAAAAAGGAAAAAGCGTAAATATATATTCGCTCTGGCAAACATTGATATACTCGTCACATCTGTGACGATAGTTTTGGATTCCTTTGTTCAACATGTAGGTATTTTTTTCTGTCATTTCTTTAACTACTTTAAAAATGTATCCAAAATTTTCCAAAATATAAAACTTGCAGGCGCTAAGAGAACGATGTCCTAATCATCATTTTTGTGACTGTGTTCCTGTTCATTAAATAAATAATGCCTAAAAAAATATATAATTCAATGTATTGAAGAGCTTTTTGCACAGTGTAGTAGATTATAACAACACTCACAATAACACTCATAATAATAAAGTGTGACCACCTCTATAAAAGCCAAAGTTTTAGCAGTTTGTTGGTCTGGGGCATGTGTGTTAACACAATACCAAGGAGAAAAGACATCAGCAATGATTTTAGAGAAGCAAATGTTGCTGCCCATCAAACTGGGAAGGGTTATAATGCCATTTCCAAACAATTTAAAGTCCATCATTCTACAGTTAGAAAGACTATTCAAAAGTGGAAAACATTCAAGCCAGCTGTCAATCTTCCCAGGAGTGGAAGTCCAAGGAAGGTCAGACCGTGCAATGCTCAAAGAAATTGCAAAAAAAACAAGGCCTCATTTAGCATGTCAAATGTTAAAGTTCATGACAGAACAATTAAAAAAGACTGAACAAGTAGGGTTTGTTTGGAAGGGTTGCCAGGAGAAAACTCTTTCTCTCTTAAAAGAACATGGCAGCACGGCTTAGGTTTGCAAAGTTACATTTGAACAAACCACAAGACTTTTGGGACAATGTCCTTTGGACAGATGACCAAAGTGGAGATGTTTTTGCACAGCTCCACATTTAGCGAAAACCAAATACAGCATATCAGCACAAACACGATACCAACTGTAAAGCATGATGTTGATGATTTGGGCTTGTTTTCCATTTAGGGTATCCCAGTTTATACAAACTGAACTTAGGCAGCCTACGTTGTATTAGAGAGGACAGATGGATGACATTTGTTGAATGTTGTCTTTTGTGGATACAGAGGCGAAGAGGCAGGTGGTAATTTGTACTCCATAGATCTTTTAAGGGTCTTTGCACAAGGTTTTATGGTCTTGCGCGAGCTTTTCAAATAATGTTATATTTTTGGATTAATTTTTAAAATTACAATATGAAAAATTTATCATACATACAAAATATCAACATATGAAAAAAAAACTAAATATTGAAATAGTAAAATATTTTTCAAAAATAATAAATCATTTTAAGAGTTAATCCAAAAATATTAAATAATTTGCACAGTTTATCCAAAAATATTAATTTGAGGACAGCTGTTACATTAGTAGGTGTTAGAATAATGATATTACAATAGTAGACCATAGAATGCTTTTAGAGGATACAAGTCTCTTACATCACCTAAGACCGGCCTGTCCAACATGCGCCTCTCAGATGTTGCTGAACTACAACTCCCATGATTCTTTTAATGAAACAGATACCCATGGAATCATGGGAGTTGTAGTTCAGCAACATCTGGGGAGATGCAGGTTGGACAGCACTGGCCTAAGACCTTGTCCCTCTACTGTAGCTTCATAATATGGAAGTTTTATTTCCACATTATCCTTACAAAGCTATCTAGAGTCGGATGTCAACACATGTTTGTGAGTGCCTGGAGCAGGCTAGTCTTTACACTGTGTCCTCTTTGATTAGTTTATATTTAATTTACACAGACAAAATAGTTATTTGATTATTGCAAACAGTCCATCCAGGGCTCGAGTTCTGCAGGAACGCGTGGGAAGAGCGTTCCTGCACTTTTTTACAGCAGGAACGCCATTCCTGCTGTTCCTGCAGGCACTCAGGGGGCAGCAAAAAATGCTGCACCTAAATACCCCCCCTGTCATGGGGGGCCCAAGAGGTGGCCTTATTGCCACCTGATGGACCCCCCCCCCGGTGGGTATCTGTCTCCCGGTCAGATGCGGTGAGGGAGCTGTGTCCTCTCTGCTCCCTCTTGATGTCATATTCCGGCTCCCGGCATCAGACAGCCCGCGCGGCGGGATGGAGCAGAGAGAACACAGCTCCCTCGCTGCGTCTGATAAGGAGACAGGCACCCACCCCACTGGACCCCAGGGACAGGTCCACACCAGCTCTCCAAGTAGGGAGGCTGGGTGGACATTTTTTAATTTAAAAAAAATAATATTAATTTGTGAGTGTGTGTCTGTGTATGTGTGTGTCTGTAAGTGTATGTGTGTGCCTGTGAGTGTATGTGTGTATCTGTCAGTGTGTTTGTGTGTGTGTCTGTGAATGTATGTCTGTGAGTGTGTGTGTGTGTCTGAGAATGTATGTGTGCGTGTCTGAGTTTGTGTGTGTGCATGCGTATATATATATATATATATATATATATATATATATACACACACACACACACACACACACACACACAAGTGTATATTATTATTTTTTGGGGGAGGGATAGGTAATCTTGGGTGAGTTCCCACACTTTATTCCCCAGAACTTGACCCCTGAGTCCATCCATATAGACCAGGGTATCGGGTCCTGTTCTAGGTGACAAAGTGAGATCATGTGACTTCAGCAGGGAGCATACATTAAAATTGGCCTCATGTTGGTAATTTTCGATTATAATAATACATTTTTTTCAGCTTAGTCCCTCAACATTCTCTGTACATCCCAAAAATACCGAACGATATACACACTACGGAAGTTCGTTCTGTCCTGATGGCCTATCGCATATCAGACATTTCCACTGCACCCCATTTAGAAATGATCAGTTCTACAGACATCAGATACAGGTTAATAGGAGGGATATTATTCCTGCAACCCCAAGCTATGTTAATTATTTCCTGTTTACCTAATGCTGCTTGCACTTTGCTTAAACTTAGAGCCACATGGCTTGCCAGTTGGTGTGTGCTTTCTATCGGCTTGTCACTTTGCCCACGCAAGTCAAATGCACTGCATTTTTATTAATAGTCGTTGGTTTTATTTCCACCAGCCCACAATCCAGCCGTCCATCTAATCTGTACCAAGTATTACGATGGATCGGCCACCTGAGGATTTGAACTTATTGGATTTATTTTTAAAAGTATTCTACTGCGCAGTTACTCTAACAACTTAAATAGTGTTTTATCTCTGCAGGGTTCTGCCTTGTGCCTTTTCAGCACACCCCCATGAGCTGACACTTTTTCATATATGTAACTTGATGAAACCCTCCGCTAAAACAAGTGGATAAATTATTTATTTTTAACAGAAAAACGTGTTAATGAAAAAAAAAAAAATCAAACAAAAAGCAGTGCTATTTATTTTGTTTTCATATTTTAAAAAGAGTGATAAGAATATTTCTCTTAAATAAATGGGGGAAGTAGCTAAACCGTATGCACTTGGCACAGCCACTTCTAAAACCAAAACATTCTGCTGGGAGTTTCAGGCCAGACTTAGTTCAGACAGAGAACTTCCGGCTTCCCTGTAGGGTCTAGTGGAGAAGGGGAGAGTGGTATCCATTGGACCCAAGATAAGATAAACCCATTTTAAAACAGTTTGACTATTTACATTGGGGGACGCTCCTGGTACCACTGCTGTAGTGGTGATGGCGCTTGGAGTATTAATTTTTAACATACCACATATGCTGCAGGTATGGTAAGATTCATGATAAAAACATATTAGAGTCACACTTCTACCTGCAATGAGGTGAATTTGGCTTCTGAACGAGGTTGTGTCAGCCCATAGCGCACAATCCTGGCTGACACACAATGCCAATCAGTCTTCAGATTTCCAGACAAAACCTAATCCTGCAATCTAAGTTTAAATGGCCCAAGTGACTGTCAGTCAGTCAGAGAGCCACTAGAAGCTCTTCCTACAAAATAGAGGAGTAAAACTCTGCTATCTCATAACTCAAAACTCTGGCGTCCAATCTCAATGATCTTATCGAATGAGGTGGACAGCAGCGGAGACTGCGAGGGGGAATGGGTAACTACCCTTTTTACTCCATACAGGTGGGGAATGGGGGCCTAAATGACCATAAATGGAATACACATTTGTATTCCTACCACAATAGTGTTCCTTTAAGGTTCCCCGTTTAGAATTTGTTAAAATGACCGAATAGAGCATTGAATAAGTCCAAGACTGGAGTTTTGCAGTGGAGAAGGAGATGAGCAGTTTGATTCTATATAAAATAGATGGAAATGACATATGGAGATAATAAAGGGTATGTGTTGGTCAAAGACAGGAGAGGGATCTTTTGACTTTATAAGCTACATATTTGCAACCATAACACAAAATGTGGGTAAATACCCAACCTCGTTTGGTTGTCTACCTTGCAGTGATAAATAAAAATATGAACGATTAAAGCACCTGTGGGATTTCTCTAAACCCACACTGTAAACAAAATTTTAAAAAAACAACCTTGCGATGTGGCCTGTTACCCTGGTACTCATCGGGCTGACATGTTTCCTTTTAGGTGACATGTTACTAGAGCTGCAAATTGCTTTACCGGCATGCCCCCAATCTGACCCCGTCCTGTTCCTATTTATATCTCGTGTTGGGTGGTATGCATGTGATGCCGTTACCATGTAAATGTGAAATATACCTGGGAAAACATGCTGGATTTCGAAGCCCTGAGGACAAGGTAGTTTATTCACTTAATGTAAGTAGTTACAGGAATCTCCCTCGCTATTCCAATAGCCCATGCTCAGAAGATTGTGAAATAGCAATGAATAGCGTGGGTCTCCAAAGACACTTAACAACTAGGAATTGGCACAAACCGAAAAATCTATATGGCAAAACGTAACTTAAAATTGCTGATATGGAAAAATTCTTCACCTTAGTTATAGCCGTGCCTCGGATATCTTAGTCTATTTTTTCTCTTGAGATTTGAGTTTGTTAGAATGTAGAGTTTAGTGAACAGCCGTAGTGTGTGGCAGTCCAGGGATTATTGACTAAGCACATGGTAGCAAAGGTGTTAAAGGGACACTATAGTCACCTGAACAACTTTAGCTTAATGAAGCAGTTTGGTGTATAGAACATGCCCCTGCAGCCTCACTGCTCAATCCTCTGCCATTTAGGAGTTAAATCCCTTTGTTTATGAACCCTAGTCACACCTCCCTGCATGTGACTTGCACAGCCTTCCATAAACACTTCCTGTAAAGAGAGTCCTATTTAGGCTTTCTTTATTGCAAGTTCTGTTTAATTAAGATTTTCTTATCCCCTGCTATGTTAATAGCTTGCTAGACCCTGCAAGAGCCTCCTGTATGTGATTAAAGTTCAATTTAGAGATTGAGATACAATTATTTAAGGTAAATTACATCTGTTTGAAAGTGAAACCAGTTTTTTTTTCATGCAGGCTCTGTCAATCATAGCCAGGGGAGGTGTGGCTAGGGCTGCATAAACAGAAACAAAGTCATTTAACTTCTAAATGGCAGTGAATTATGCAGTGAAATTGCAGGGGAATGATCTATACACTAAAACTGCTTTATTTAGCAAAAGTAATTTAGGTGACTATAGTGTTCCTTTAATTTGCACATGCAGATGATTTGTGCAGTAGGCTGTGGGATCCTGTCAGGCATTAATTATGTCTTCCTGTTGATCTGAAACACTATCAGAGCACAGCTGAAGCAGGCATATTATTACATAAAGTGTCAGCAGTAGTTAAGCACTGTGGTTACATGGAAAGGCATGTTTTCATTTATATGGATATTCACTACGAACCGGAGGTGCCTCCGAACAGTAACACTTGGCAAACATCTCAGTTTAATACATGGCTAAATGCAATTTGAGTTTAAATTCAGCTATTAACTCAAAGTGAAAATAAAACAATTCTGGTTTGCTAATAATTAGCTTTAAATTCCATAGAAAGCATTGAACGTGGGAATTTATTTAACATCTGACTGATTACAAACGGACCTCATATTTGCACTTTTGGAGATTTCTGCACCCTACATTTTGCAATAGAAATATCAGAAAACTAAAATATTGACTTGCACAATTATCTTTAAGTATATTATATATTTAAACCTCTGAGTTCCAGAAATATGACCAGCAGACAAGCATATTGCATGTGGGTGATATTCCTGGCACTCAATCAGTTCAATAAAATTAAAATGTAACCCAGCAGTGGGGTCCCCCTCTATTTCCTTACACCATGGCCGGTCATGTTCTCTTTTTATTTAAAATAGATTTATTAATGGCTTACTTATTATTAATTCATGTAGTAGTTCTAAATCAATTTATGAACAATTCCCGAAGCTATTTAAAAAGCAGTCAGGGCGAATAAAGATCATTTTGAATGGACATCAATTCCTGTCAAATGAACAGAAATCATGTCTTTTCCAGCACCAAAAAGACGAGCCCTTCGCCGGTCCCTTCAGGACTTCTGAAGAATTGAACATTTAAAATAATAAATTGCCGAGGTAAAAAAAAATGGTTGGTATTTGAAATCTGACGATTTGGGTCTAAAGGATACAGTTATCTTGCCAATTACAATTTCCAGTTCAGTGCATAAACCCCAGAATTATTTTGCTAGAATTTCAACAAAAGTGAATCTATCAAGTGAAAAAAACAAAAAACAAAAACACAACTGAACAGTTAAAATCTTTTAACCTGAAACTGGTCAGTGAAATATTGGAAAATATTGCAGCCCATCTCAAATTTAAGACTGCACATAATTGGTTCCTAGGGCTGATAATGAACTTGGAATTTGGAAGATAAAAGGCTTCTCTGTGTTAAGGTGGTATTTGGCTTGGCTGGTCACAGTATGAAAGAACAGAAAGCACCTGTTTACTGCTGGATGAGGTACAGTGATACATTGATGTATAATAAAAAGCTCTTTGTGTTATGACGAGTGCCCCATTTCTACTGGCCCTGCTTGGGGTACATTGGAAAGGGGATCACTGAACGCAGTGCAGACGAGCAGAAGGAACCCTGGGCTGATATATCGCTGGGTTATATAACACTCAGATTCAGCTTTCAACTCCTGCAGAGCATAAAGTCACATTCTGAAAGCTAGCAAGCTGCTCACGCCAGATACTGTGTGCATGGATGGGATGCCTGCTTACTGACCCCATCTCAGAGAGGGCGTATAGCTCCCAGTAAGAATAATCACGGCATCAGAGCAAGTGAAGGATGGTACTCTGATTGGCCAAATGTAAAGGAGGATGTACACACACACATACATACATACATACATACATACATATATATATATAGATATACATTGTTGCGAGACCCACTGGACTTGTAAGTATATATAATGTAGCCATTATTCGCTACATATAAACATAGTGACTTAAACAAAATATCGATGTTTCAGCCCACAAGGACTATAAGCATCTGGGTACACCAGGTAACTGTCCCATGTAGCACAGTGTGAGCGCCTCGTTAGATGTGCATGCGCTGTGCACAGGCACTAGCACTCTTTGCAGAGAGAGTTGCTA